ACAACCAATCAGAAGCCTGCGTTTGTCTACCTAAACAACCAATCAGATGACTGCGCTTGTCTATAATAATGTAGTTGAAAGATGTATAAATACGTGTTGATTTTCATAATAAAACGATCTGTTGCCTGGCCCTTGTCTTCTGTTGTTACATTTGGTGTCGCTGCCTACCGACAAATGAAAAGCCTATACCCTGCAGTTTTTGATGGAGACATATGGATCTTCGGGCAGGACTTCAAGGCTTCTGCGCAGTTGAGTGGCGTTCAAGATCTGTCAGCGATGGAGCTGCTACTTGAGACGCTGCTGGGAGGTCGGGCGAAAGCAGCATATGAAGGTGTGGGCCGAAGTATGGACGAATGTTCGACAGGGTCAGGCAAACAGTTTCCAAAGTGGGAAGGACCATATATGGTCACTTCGAGATGGGGTTACGCAGACACAGTCGCAATGGCGAACAATGAGAGGCGCGTGAACGTCAGCGAGCTCCAGAAATGGATACAGCGAGACAAGCCAACGATGACGCCTGCACCAAGTAGATCAAGCCGACTTCAGTCGCACGTATTTGACGGGGGGACGAGTGTGGTGAGAGCAGGCTGCTAGCCGATTGGTTGGCACTAATCTACGTTAAGGTCTAGGTCACTAATATGGGCCGTGAACAAGCCTGAGTCAACAACCAATCACAGCAAAGTTAACGTGGCAAAATATTATTCGCAGAGAGAACTCTATTTGTCAAGGAATCCCGAAACAACCAATCAGAAGCCTGCGTTTGTCTACCTAAACAACCAATCAGATGACTGCGCTTGTCTATAATAATGTAGTTGAAAGATGTATAAATACGTGTTGATTTTCATAATAAAACGATCTGTTGCCTGGCCCTTGTCTTCTGTTGTTACAATAGGATCGACGAGGTTGGAAAAGACAGAGCCAGCTAGTGGCGGTCAAATGAAAACAAGGCTTCAGCAGTCAATCAAATCCATAACAGTTAGTTTGAGCCAGCCAGCCATGTGTGATGTAGACTGGCTGGCTGATTTAATTAACTGGTTGGGGTCCTCTGGATGATGGTAAGAACCAATGAAGGCTGGAGACAATAAGTGGTGATATGGCTGGCTCAAAATCCTCAATGTCAATAGGTGGTGCAGATCCATTCACTCTTTTTAGTTAGCCAGTCATATCCAATAAAACTCTATTGTTGTTCTTCCAAATTACTAGTCTTTTTGCCTCACTCACACTTTTGTTTATAATCTCTGTTCTGGTGAATCTCTCTTTACTCTCTTTTCTTGGTTTGTGTGGTAGGTGGAGTGAAGTGTAGTAACTTCGAACTGCTGCAGGATGGCTTAAACTAACTGTTGTGGATTTGATTGACTGATGAAGCCATTTTTTGATATGACCACTACTAGCTGGCTCTCTCTTTTCCAACCTCATCGATCCTATGTCAGTTAACTAACATACCCTGTCAAGGAAGGCGATCGAAATCTAGGGTTATGTGGGTAATACATGTGCTGACCATGTCAGTCGATGCAGCTGATTCACAACGTCGTCGATTGATTTTCCCTTCTCAGCTAACTGATACACGACAGATACCTCACCTCAATATTACTCATCCTATTATGTTATCTAACATGGGAGATATAACGCAGACAGCTATGATCGATGACAGTCAGCTGACCTTTTCACGCCTTCCACTTCCAACGGCCATGTCTGGCTCACAGCTAGCCATAACAGAGGACGGTGTGAACTGGTGAGCAGGATACACGCATTTTGGTCAAGCCAGGTACCTATTAGCTGTATATGTACAATGAAAACAAAATTCGCTGAACACACTCATCGCCTGTCGGTCTCCAATATGTCTTCTTTTTGGTAGCATTAATTTGCAGATTCGATTAAATGACAAAACTTAACTTCCAGATGTGTGTATGTATATGTAACTCCTTGGTTCGAATCCCTCCCCACATAATTTGAATTCATTTTCATAGCCTAGTCGATCAGGTAAATGAATTCCACAGGAGTACATACATTAAAGTTGCTTAAAGAAAAAAGCTGGTTGGTTGATTATTTGATTATCACAGCGATGTAATGAAGGAATCTCACCAACCCTCCCCCCACCCCGCAAATCCAGTCTAAGACTTCATTTTTTGAACATTAATATAACTTCAATTAAATTCGTTTTTCTCTCTCTCTCTCTCCGACACACACACACACACACAAAATGAGCAATCAAAAAAAGCACAAGAGAAATATTTCACAAAATGGGAATTATAAAGTCATATGATGGATACTTAATTATTTTCACATTTTTTGCGATAAAATTTTATTTTTGTATAGAATATTACCTAAAATAAGGCACTTATCAAGATCATTAGAACATTTAGTATTAGTGGAGGGGGCGGGGATGAGGTTATACAATCCTTGACTGATTTATTGATTCGGGGATATAAGCTAAGGATGTCTGTGTGTATGTGCGTGTGTGTGTGTGTGTCAGGTGATAAGGTTGGAACAGAGGGTCGAATCACAATACTTATAAACCACAAGTCTTTGCTTACATACTGACATCATAATACTGAAAACAGAGCGCTTAAACTGAACTACAATACTACTTAAATCCAAAATTAAGTCAGCAACTTAAGTGTAAGTCATTTCATATAATTTGGACTTTCCCGTTGATTAACTGGTTGGACAGAAATGTTTGGCGTCAGTTGACATTTCAGTCTGTTGTGTGGATGCTTCGATGATGTGTGAGGATGCGCATTTCGTCCTATTTCTTTAGAACTCTTCAGCTAACTGGTTGTATCTGCATTCATCCTCCTCCAGTGAGTGATTAAGTGATGGTATCCTTACTGAGGCTTGTACCCAGTACCCATCATTTCGACGGAGGTCCAAAGCTTCGCTCTAATCTATCAAGAGGGGGAATCTGAATTGAATTAGATAACTGATACACATTGCACATGGGGTGGCTCTCATGATCTAAGCGGTCTCGTGAATAACTCCTTGACGGTTTAAAGGATGGGTGCTGGGTGTACAAGCCTCTGTGTGAACACCACCACTGACTCACTGGGAAACGCAGGCACACACAATGACGAGTCCCAAATGGGACGAAGTGCGCAACATAGATTACACTGCTAGTCCCCACCCACCAATTTATCTTAAGTATATTTCAGTTTAATACTTGAAATTTTACTAGGTGTGTGGAAGACTGCTCTCATTAGAAGTGTGAGGATCCCATATTCAACCCTTAGGAGGAATGGAATGTGGGTAGGTTATGCCGAAGAGTGCTCCACTAGGACAAAATATCCACTGATCTAACTAAAAGTTACAAATCAAAGTATCCCTGTTTTCCCAGTATAATTCATTATAGGCAAACATAAGCAAATGTGGACTATAAAGGACCCTCCAGATAACCCCCTAAATGATCAACTTTTGAAGGCAGTTACCTAGAAGAGATGTCTCAGTGTCCTAGACTAAGCGCCATACATATTGTGTGAAGGATAACGATACCACCTAGTTGACCAGGTGAGGCGGGATTCGAACTTGGAACATACTGACTCGAAGTTAAATGGCTAAGTCTATAAGCTAGATCTCCCCACTAAATGATTACACTCAGACGGTTGTGGGAGATCGATAGAAGGTTTCGGATATAGACTTCTTGCTTGTTCGTAATCAGCGGTCAGCAAGGCGTATCTGAACTCCAGAAGGGACTCATATCCCTTCTGAGGTTCAGACCCGTGTCACCCAATGCTGCAGTCTGTGACAGACGTTACCACTGAGCTATTCGAGCTGGCTCACGATTGACCTTCTGTAGGACTTTGAAGGAATCGTTGACTGGAAACTAAGTAGTTCATGGTTCGGTGTATACTGAATTTTAATAGTCTCTGACTGCAACATTCCCTGGGTGACATGGATTCGAATCTCAGGGGGGTACAGGAGTACCTTCAAGACTGAAGATACGCCTTGTTGACTGTTGAGCGCCTACAAGTATGAAACCTAGGTCCAAGATGCCCTGATTTTCCCCAGTTATCTAATAATAACAGTTCAGAGCACATCATGATGGTTAGCCACCTAGTGGTACGGTGGTGGTCATATCACAAAATTGACGGATAGGATTCAGTTTGCACCACACATACAACTACACTCATAAAGATAGTCACTGCCTAATGTCCAATAAAATGATTACGCTTTATATTGTACAATCAACATGGAAAAATGGTGAAATAAAGAAAAAGAAGGAATCATCCAGAAAGGTTGAAAGATCAGTTTTTAACAACAAGAAAAAAACATCCCCCAGGAGTAATAATGAATTGACTTGCCAACCATATAAAGATACATACACTCAGAAATGAATTGTATTCACCTTATCAGTCTGTTTAATTCACTGTGGATATGATCCGAAATCTGACTGTTTTACCTATCAAGAATGATTATGAGAACCAGGAACGAGTTTTTGGCAACTGTTTCATCCTTGTTCGGGACTCTTCAGTCTTAAACAGCCATCACTCTTCCAGGGATCGAATCGAGAAGCTTCAGGTTATAAGGTTAGTTATTGACCATTCATCCAACAGGACAGAATCCAATCGCCCATGAATTCCAACTTCTGTTACAGGATTCCATCATGAGCTGACACATCAGTTAGAGAACCATTGAAAAATCTGCAGGGAGTACTGGACAGCTGTTTCTCTAGTCCTAGTTTGGAACTATTCAGTAGTACGCACCGACCCAAACGGGGTTCGAACCCAGGATCTTCTGGTTACAGGTCAAGCTAGCACGCAGGCCATTAAGCCACTGGGACCCGTTCCAATGACCCATTATATTTTTAACTTCTGCCAACTTCTGGTACATAAAGAGCGATTCTCAGTCAAACTTGAAGCAATTAGAGAGGGATTTGAGACTGGAAACTACGTACCAATGAATCACGCACACACATCAGTATACTCAAACTCGTAACTCAATACAATTCAAACAAGCAAGCGAGTAAACGAACGAACACATAAATAAATAAATAAACATTTACTCACTTGATAAACTATTTATAGATTGTCCATTAATCAGTATTGATGATGTTTCAATGGATAATAGTAATGATAATAAAAGTAAATAAATAAATCCCATTTTACAATAATGAATCACAGATAAATTTGATTTACACTGATTTAATTGTAACATTGAACAGGTATATTGATAATTGAATTTATTATTACGCATATGTATGTGTATGTATGTTTATATTGTATGTATTCTTGCTGGGTTTTTTTATTATTACTACTATTATTATTATTATTTTCTATTGTGAAAACAAGCGTAAATGATAATAAAATGAGATAGTGTAAATAAATCAGTTTATAATAATAGTTAACTGGGAATTGAATCCATTGAATATTGAACAATCCTGAAAGGAGGGAAAATCAAATGATGAATGGATTCAATGAATAAATATAAATAAATAAACAAATGCGTATTGAATAAGAGAAAGCGAAAATTTGAATAATGCAAATTGTTTACTTAGATTACTTAATCTAATAGTATATATATATATATATATATATATGCATTTGAAGAGTATATCAATTGAACAGTAAATGGGCAATTGAATCGGGTCCCAGTGGCTTAATGGTCTACAAGCTAACTCGCTAGTCTTGTAACCAAAAGGTCCTGGGCGGTGGGTGTGTACTGATGAAGAGTCCCAAACTAGGATTGGAGAAACAGCTGTCCAGTTCTCCCTGCAGGTTTTCCGATAGTTCTCTAACTGATGTCAGCTCATGATGGAATCCTCCAACGAATCAAACAAAAAAATCCCTACAAAACCAATACTTAAAAACTAAATTTGTACTAAATATCAGTGAATAATGGAGAAAAGTCAGTTTTATTCTGGTGTGGTACTCCCCGAAGGAGTTGAACTTAAGATCTTCAGGTTACTAAGTCAATCCATTGACCTTCTAACCAATAGGATTGAAATTTAGTAATCCATGAATTTTCATTTCTAAGTCAACTTGTGATGCTTTAGTGAGGATTATGCGTGCAAAGTTTAAGTGCTTATTGGTTTTCAGTGAAGTAACATCGATCGAGATATATGAAATAGAGGTTAAGCATGCAAAGCCGTTAACCTCCTCGACTTAGCGATATTAACTGATCAAGTCACCTTGATCAAAATTAGGGGTTGTCACCTTGAAACCTGTTATCAGTCCATTAAGTCTTTGATAATTGGTTTGAGAAGGTCAAGTAGGAAGGTGTGGATTATTTGGACTAGGACTTTGAGTTGCTAAAATACAATGACGATTGCAGACAATTATTGATATGGCTTAAAATCGTTCTCAATGGCTAGCACAGATGCATTCACTTTTTGCAATCTCAGAGATCCATTAAATCCTCGTGTTTGTGTCTCCAGCCATTGGTGTTTACCGTCCAGAGGACCCCAACCAGGAAGTCTACACCTTACTACGTGACTAGCTTAAACTAATTGTTGTGGATTTGATTGACTGATGAAGTACTGTTTTGGTTTGATCACCACTGGCTCTTTTCCCACCTAATCCTATGTCAGTCAACTAACACTGCCCGTCGAGGAAGGTGATATCTAGACATACGTAACATATATTCCTAAACATTTCAATCGATGCAGATGCTTCACAGCCTCATCAGTTAATTTTCTCTCCTCCTCACCTTCCGCTCGACCAATGCCTAACCTCAATATTGCTCATCTTGTTATACCACCTAACAGGGGAGACAGAACGCCGACACCTATGATCAAAGACAGGTAGCTGGCTTTTTCATGTCTTTCACTCTCAATGGCCATGTCTCACAGCCAGAAATAAAGGAGGACGGAGAAAACTGATGAGCAGCACACACATCCTTTGGTCGATAGCCCACCGGATATCACGTCTACGCCACAGACGGCGTAAACTGGCATATGCAAAACTAGCTCTCTGTATCCGTGCTGAAATTTCGTCAGAGATCAACTTGTTGGCACTGGCTGATGCAACTTCCCAAATAAGTAGTGAATTGGCCAACACGCTCCACCAACCACTTCACTCCCTATTTCTAAACTAGGAGTCAGTGTAGTCCAGTCCTGTAACATCATCTTATATTTGGCGGGAGCGAATCTCATGCCAAACATTCGCAGATTGCAGCCCAAGCTGTTCAGAAGACTCTGCTATATTTTGTCAGCGTCTTCACCTAGAAGGTAGGACTATATCATCTGCATATTCTCAGTCAACGAGACTAGTACTCCCTGATGGTAGCAAGTCATTCCCTGAGTCGCTGAAGTCAGCATTTAGGGTTAAGTCCATTAGTACATCTGTGATGAAATTGAATAGAAATGGGGATAGTGGGCAACCCTGACAGACACAACGGTCATCCAAAGCCTCAGGATGGTCGGGGGTGGGTGTCTTGCGCTGCGGGTTGGCCACCCCTCCGCACACCTCTTGAAATGCTCCCATATGACCGTGCGTCTTACATAGCCTCTCCTGAGGAAGTCCTACTCACTGCCTTCACGTGGCGGAGGTGTTTCTCACTAAAGTGAGAGGGCAAAAGCGGATGCCCGGCGCTCTCCACCGGGTTGACTGTCCATTGGATGACAGTCTAGGGGAGATGGCTAAACCCTGATTCCAAACCTCCAACGACTGGCGTATGAAGCTCACTGGAGCTCACCGGCAGACGTATGGACAAAGGGCTTGTTGGATGTCCTGGATGTCTGGCCCCATTCAAAAAGGCGTATGAACCGAACTCCGGTCACCGGCTGCCAATGGATAGTGGACTCCTTACTCCACTCCTACTGCCTTGTAGGTCACACTTGGCTGTGTAAAGGCTAGAGCTGCACTCTCAAACAAAAGGCCGAGCGATGCTGGGGACATCACTCGTACCAAATTCCCAAGAAACTTCATGAACTCTCCTACAAACAACTCTCACCATGCTACGGCGTTCCCGGTAAGCGACGCGCCCTGTGCTCACCCGGTGGCCAGTGTGAAAAGTAAGCTAGCTGGGAAATTAACACTTAGAAACCAACTATTTGTTGGCTGCTGGAATGTTAGGACGCTGTTGGATCCTGGTAGCCAGTCTATCACCATGCGTTCTTTATATGACTACAAGGTAGACATAGCGTGTCTATCTGAAGTGAGGTTACCCGATCATGGCTCCCGCCGAATAGCCGTTCCTGGAACAGATTCTTCATTCTGGTTGCTTCATAGTGGCCCCCAGAATAATTCGGGACAACATGGGGTAGCATTTGCTCTCAGTAACAAAGCCAATAATGCCCTAATATCATTCGAACCGGTCAACTCCAGAGTTGCAGTCGCTAGGTTCAAGGGTTCCCCGCTCGACATTTCTGTTCTCGCTGTCTATGCCCCAACCCTCGACTCTGATGAAAGTATCAAAGACGAATTTTATGACAATCTTCAAGAGGCAATCAACAAAATCCCAAAGCGTGACGTTCTCATAGTAGCCGGCGATTGGAACGCCCGCACTGGCCCTTCAGACGACGCGACAAAACATATACTAGGCAAACACGGTCTCGATCAGCGCTGCCGTAATGGTGATAGACTTTTAGCTTTTTCTGATTACAATCGATTATATATCACCAACACTCGATTTCAACACCCCAGAAAACATCTTCTCACCTGGTATTCGAACGACGGTCGCACTGCACATCAGATCGACTACATCCTAGTGCGCTCACGCTGGATCTCCTCGGTGGAAGACTGTCGATCCTATCGTGGAGCAGAGGCCGGAAATAAAGGGGGATCAGACCATACTCTAGTTAGGGCGAAATTCAAACTTCGTTTAACGACACGCCAGAAGACGCGACCTCCGAAGCGTATCAATGTTGCCCCGCTTCAATGTTCTACAAGACGACAAGCCTTGTCCAAACAAATCCAGGCCGAACTAAGCACCGCAGATGAACCAACATCCACATCTTCTAATACACCCGAGACACGATGGAATCATTTCAAAGAAGTAGTCTCTAAAGCTTCAATGTCGCATTTGGGTACCACATCCAAGAAGCAGAAAGACTGGATTTCAGAGCACACCATGCTTCTATCCTCGCAAGCCAGAGACGCTCGCCTAGCAAAGTCTCCAGTTTATCGCTCCCTCAGGCGCAAAGCTACACAGTCTGCTAGGAACGACAGAAATCGCTATTGGTCTAACGTGGCGACTAACATGGAAGCAGCATCAAATGTAGGCGATTTCGGAAAACTTTATCGCCTCTTACGCCAATCATCTGGCAAACGCCTTAACAGTCATGCTGTGTTACGCACAGCATCAGGAGAAATTATTTCGGACACCAATGGTAAGATGGAACGATGGGCCGAATACTTCAAGCAGCTACTCAATCGCGACGCTGGTCAACCGTCTCATCGACCGATACGACACTTACCAACACCCTACGTAGTTGACTGCGATCCACCCACTCCAACCGAAATAGCTAAAACAATTAACACACTCAGAAACAAAAAAGCTCCGGGCGAAGATGGTCTACCCCCAGAAATATACAAGGCCTGCACTCCAGCGCTAATCGATGCACTGCACTCGCTGTTCTGCTCAATTTGGGAGTCCGAAACCATTCCTTCCGATTGGAGCACCTCAGTTCTGCTACCGTTCCACAAAAAGGGAGACAGGTCAATATGCGAGAACTACCGAGGCATAAGTCTGATTGATATCGCTGCTAAGGTTTTTGTTTCCATTCTCCTGAACCGCTTCGCGGCCGAACGCCACGTGCGAACAAGGCCAAATCAAGCCGGATTTCGACCTGGAAGAGGCTGTGTTGATCAATTATTCACACTGCGAAGAATTTTGGAACACAGGGACAAATTCCAACAGCCGACGGTTGCTTGCTTCATCGACTTCCAAGCGGCATTCGACTCAGTTGATCGAGGAGCACTCTGGTATCTAATGGAGCTCGACGGAGTTCCGACCAAGCTAATCAACCTGCTCAGGTCATACTACTCCAACACCAAAGCTCGAGTCCGAGTGAACGGTGAAGAGTCCCGCACTTTTGAGGTAACCAGCGGTGTCCGGCAAGGTTGTCCAGCATCCCCCATCCTGTTCAATTTCACAGTTGATTGGATTTTGCGGCACGCCCTAACCGAGCACCACGGCGTCCAACTTTCGCCCGATATTCACATAACCGACCTCGAATTCGCCGACGACGTCGTGCTGTTAGCTGAAAACTTCCCCGATATGCAACAGGCGCTCGACCAGATAAACCACCTCGC